CAATTTTTTTAAATTGCCTACAAATGACTCAGTTGAAATACATATAGCAACATCGTCACTGACTGCCAAAACCTGGCAGGACCTTCCTGAAAAAACGATTTCTTGAGGTTTTCAGGGGTTCATACTCTTAGGTTTTTTTCGGTAAAGTCACGTAGGTAAAAATAATAATAATACAATTATAATAAAGGAAAATAACTCCATTAAATCACAACGTTTAGGAAGCAACACAAGTCTCCGTCTTCAGGTGGGACCGTCACAGCTAAATTTACTGTATCACTTGATACTGTATAAAGTGATACTATTATTTTACCTACGGGACTTTACCGAAAAAACCTAAGTATGAATCCTTGCAGTCACGAAAGCTTCAAATCTAGAATTTTCTGGGGTTCACAAGCAGAGCAATACTAATAATGACTCTTCACCTCACGGTGCCCAGCTGTTCACACTGATCGTTTCGGTGGTCAGTATGTCACACGCTAGAGTGCTTTCTCATGGTTTGAGAATATCTCCTGTCTTCTCACACAAAACAAATATGTGGTGCACTTATTTCCATTGGTGGCCATGACTTTGTAGTAGAAATTCCACATTCCTCTGGTGGGCATCAGTCTCAATCTCCAGCACAATCTTGTTTAACTTATCAGAGTAGTGCAGTGCAATTCTATCGACCACAGAGATAATGAGCCAATCGCTCTATCCGCAGCACCTCCCCGCCACATCAGGAATGTAGAAATTCACCCGTTCCTATGTTTAATAAACTATAACGAATTGGGATTTTTAATTTGATTAGTTTTTTTCCCATGCAGTGTAAACCTATTGCAAGCATCATATATTAATGAGATCAAGAATTATCAGAAAAATATATAATTTGCAGCTCGGGTTAAACACAACTGTGCTGCTTTCTACAAATGTTGCTTAACATCCTGTGATTTATGGTGCAACTGTGTAGCTTTTTGTTGGGCAACAAAGTTGCACATTGCGGAGCCATTCAACTCATTGAAGGACCATATTTATTATGACCATTAATAGAGCAGAGGCCGGTAGGCCTGACCCCTGTCCTCCTGTCTCGACTGAACAGCTTGGCCCAGGAGGTCCGGTCAGGGTCATCTAGGCAAGGAAGGTGACTACTCACACTATGAATTCACAAACTCCAGGTGTTTTAGATCGGGAAATAAATCAACAAAAAAATGATTTGCACGTATGTATTTGTGTTGAACTTCTTTACCACCGTACGTAGCCAACCGTGCTAACGGGTGATTTCATGAAAAAAATCCTTCATGCCTATGACGAAATCTTATCTTGCCAGTCCGCTGCTGGATGAGGGCCTCCTCATGCCCAACATGTTGTGGGGGTTGTTTGACCATACTTCACCATGCTGGATAGTGTGGTTTGGTGAAGGCGGGGTACATAGATTTTGGAGCACAGTATAGTACAATGGCTTTTACTGTACCCCTCCTACTAAACGTCGACCCGCATAAGCCTATAGCACCTGTTATTTTATGCATTGTGATCTGTTATCTAAGCACTAGCTACGCTCAACTCTGCTTTATATGTACCTCTTGCGATGTTGTGGCTTGAATTGAGATGCAGATGGTGGCAGGAGGTCACGTGGCTTTGAGGAGTGCATTCTCTACACTTGTTGCATTTCTATGCTATGGTATGATGCTACTGTATGGGTGGGTGGTGGTACAGTGGTTAGCGCAGTGTGCGATGAATAAGGTTTTTACTGGCTTATGCGCAGACCGTGCTCGGTCGTAATGATTGTCATGTTGGTGACCCAGGTCACTCTTTCAAATAGGGCTCTTCTGATCTCTCGCCTTATTAAACGAATAAACTTGAAACGTGATATTTCTCAGTTAGCCAAGGTCTATCGGAATTGTTCAATTCACTGGAATAAAGTTCAACACAAGACTGGAGTCATATCTTATTACAAATGAATTTGTCCTGAACAAACAACAGACGCCAATTCCTGGATTGTCCAAAGCAAACCCGGACAGGGGGCAACCCTAGCCATGAACCTACATACTCAACTGATTCCTAGCCACAGCTCACTCCCACCACCACCTTCACCAATCCACACTGACCAACATTCTGAAGTTTAGTCACACAACCCCCCATGACTGACACGACATGACGATGCCCTCATCCAGCAGTGGAGTGGCAACAGGGCTGTACATGTGTGTATATGTGCATATGTATATATATGGGGTCTGGCAAAACAACCCCCTACCTCCTCGTGGTGCCGGACAGGCAACGCTGTCATGGACAGTGCTGTGGCCTTTCCCCTCAGGGTGTTGGTAACCACCACAGCGGCCAAATGGGGGCTCTGGACGGGTGCGAGGGGCTGATAACCCCTCCACGTTCAATAAATTACCACAAAACCACGTAAAAAATATAGCTAATTTAAAGCTTGTGCCTGAGACCCCGGGGGGACAGGCGTCTATGACGTCTCCGGGCTCCTCCAGAAACAACAAAAATCCACTGCGGATGGCCACGTGGAATGTTCCAACGCTCACTGCTGAGGAGAGGCTGCGACTCCTCTGTTGGGAGCTAGACCGGTACCGCCTGGATCTCTGTGGCATTCAGGAGGTCCGGTGGACCGGCTCTGGCTCCTGCCACCATGAGGGGTGGACAGTCCCCTACTCGGGGCAGGAGACTACCAAACAACAGGGAGTGGCTCTTCTTTTGAACAAAAGAATGAAGGGGGCGTGGGAGCGTGGCGGTGAGGTGTGGGAAGCTGTAAGCCCCAGGCTACTTTGGGCTCGCCTCCCCATCAACCGGAGGCGAGGAGTGGTGGTCATGGTTACTTATGCCCCCACCGAAGATGAACATCCGTGGAGAGATGCAGGCAAGGCCGATATGAGTCAGATGCCTTCTATGACCTCCTGTCACAGGTGCTGGCTAAAGTGGCCCCTCGGGATAGTCATCTTGTTGGGTGACTTCAATGTCATGATGCTGGCACCTGGTTTGGAGTGATTGGAAGACATGGGCCAGATCAGCTAAAACAACGGTAGGAGGCTGCTAGATTTTTGTGCAGCCCATGGGCTTGTAATTACCAACACGCTGTTCCGGCATCGGCGCATCCACACAACATAATGGATGCATGCCGGGTCTAAGCAAGAACATCTGCTGGACTACATAGTGACAGAACAGCGGATGCAAGCCCTTGTCCTTGACCAGGACCTACCGTGGAGCTGATCTGCCCTCTGACCATCGACTTGTCATCTGTAAGATGCGCCTGCCATTCTTCCACTTCGGTGGTCGGTGTACACCCAGGACCCCATTCAAACCTAAGGTGGCCTGGTCTCAGCAAGCTGATGAAAGTTGAAAGCTAGAATTTCATTATCGCTTGCAGCTGGGGATGGCATCGTCCCCCACTCCTCCAGATGTCGAGGGTAAATGGGCGAGGTTTAGGACTGACTCAGGCAGCTGCAATGGCTGCTTTGGGTACGTGGTCCAGACCTCCCCAGAGACCCTGGCTGACAAAGCAGGTGTTCAGGATGGCTGAGAAAAAGGGACAGGCCCACTTTAATCATCTACAGCATCCCACGTCAGAGAATGAGGAGGCTTACCAATGTATGCCCGTGATCTGGTAATTGTCGCTCATTCAGAGGAGGAGTTGGAGGCGCAGCTACTGAACCTGGAGCTTGCCACCAAGAGGTGGGGCCTTACCATCAGCCCCACCAAAACGAAGCACCTGCCTGGGTATTTTGTACCATCGGGCACTACACCCCCACAACTCCCAATTGGTGATGGGGCAGTTGTGGAGAGAGTGGAGAGTTTCCCATACCTGGGCAGTGTGCTCATGACCGGCTCCGGTTTGACAGCAGAGGTTTCACTCAGATCCAGTCAAGCGGCATTATCTTTTCATCGGTTGCGTAACGCTGCGTGAAAGCTACTTGGTTTGTCGCTCCGCACGAAGCTTCAAGTCTTCTCGGCCACGGTCATTCCCTCCCTTCTCTACGCTTGCGAAACGTGGACCACCTAATGGAGCATCTTCGCCGATTGGAAAAATGTAGGATGGCCTGCCTACGATCCATCGTTGGTTTAACCAGGCTGGATTGTGTGAGGAGCTCACAAATCCTTGAAAGATCTGGGCAAAGTCCCATCGGTGAGCTCCTCCGGCAGGCAAGGCTGCGTTGGCTGGGGTCATGTAGCCCGCATGCCCAGCCACCGCATGCCTAAACAGCTTTTGTTCGGCCGAATCGAGGGGGCTAAACGGGCGTGGCATGGGCTAGAGAAGAGATGTAGTGATGTGGTACAGGAGGACGTGGAGCTGAGTGGACTTGCGGATGACTGGTACCAGCGGTGTCAAGATCAGCCTCTGTGGAGGAGGCTCGTGAAGAATGCTGCTCAGCAGTTGGAGGCAGTCGCTCTCCAACAACAACGGAGGGCGGAGGAGCGACGCTCACAACAGCGAGCGGAGCGCCGGGTGGCTAAAGCACAGCAAGTTGGCACAGTAGGGGGCATAGGTGGTGCATGAGCCAGTCGTCTCAGTCAGTCGACCCGTGGCACCTGGGTCTGCCCCGTGACCTCCTGCCAGCAGGCGTTCGACACTTCACGTGGCCTCAACGTGCACATAGCCTGGCACAAGCGTCGTGGTGACATCATCGCCTCTTAGTGGCGAATGGCGGTTGTTGTCGTTGTTGTATATATGGGAAGCATTAACGTCATGATTAGTGCACTGTGCTACCAACCCGACTACCTGGGTTCAATTCCAGCTTATGACCAATAACAGTGGTAAATATCTGAACTGGTCTTGGGCCTCCCCTAGGTCAACTCGGCTTTAATTGAGTACCTGGTGCGGTGTGTAAACATCGGCACTGGGAATACAAAGGTAGCCGGGTAAGGCATTGGCCACCAACCCCCCTTGTGCGCCATGCCAGCCGTCATAGGTGCTCGCTAACAGCACTTGCCCCGCGAGTCTGTTAAGACTATAGGGGGGATGTTTGTGCATATGTTGAATATAGTTGTGTATGTTCTGGTGTCTTTCTCTTTTGCAGTCTGGACAGTTCAGTGAAGACATGATCCCAACAGTGGGCTTCAACATGAGGAAGATCACCAAGGGGAACGTGACCATCAAGGTTTGTTACACACCACTCACTCGCACACTCATTCGCATACTCGCCCACTCACTCACGCACTCACTCACAGACTCGATATACAGTACGATATTCTTTGGGTCTTTCGGTAAAGTCTATCTACGTGACTTTACCGAAAGAAACAATAAATATGGATTCCTGCAGTCACGAAAGATTTAAGTCAAGATTTATACAGTACGATGTTTCACTTTACATTCATGTCTTATACACTGCAAACCAAATAGATGTATAGGTATGCCCAAGCAGTCGAGGCAAATAGAAATTGGAGCAAAAACAACCGCAAAGCAGGAAAAATCTAAAACCACATCCAAACATAATAATCGGTGTTAAATGAAATACATTTCCAGAAACTTAGACTAAGACGAATAACTTGTGAAAACCAATCATCGTAAAATTATCTTGCAGAAACCTAAAAGATATGGGGTGATTGTTGCACTCATATGTAAACATACAAGCACGTATTACTTATGAGCTAACTCGTACTCTCTCGTACAAATGCTCCTGCTGGCTGGCTGGCAGAGCTGAGATCTTTCTTTGCACTCTGCACTCCTGAATTGTAGAGCCACCTGGTCAACCCTGCGGTGTTTTACCAAACAAGTTCAGCGGGCGGTGGCACAGATAATCACAATCCGGTACCGAGGCACGAGCCCTACTTTAGATGTGGTGTCGTCTTTATTTTTGCAGCTTTGGGACATCGGAGGACAACCTCGCTTCCGCAGCATGTGGGAGCGCTACTGCCGGGGCGTCAACGCCATCGTGTGAGTGCTGCGTGCGCCCTCAACCCTTTCCATGCAAGGGCGCTGATGAACGTTCCCGAAAATCAAAAGTCAAAGCGTCTCCCTGCTCAAACAAGTTGGCGCTCCGTATACATTTACAGCCTCCAGCCAGTGGATGGAAATTCCCCTTTGCTCACGGTGTGGCTCGTGCTCTCAGTGGGGCAGCCAACGTTGAGACTCCCCGCAAAACGGTACCTGTGTATACAACCTTGCGCTCAGTGGCCTACCCCAGTGGTTCTCAACCGGGGGTACGCGGATTCCAGGTGACACGTGGCAATGTCCCCAGGAGGTACGTTAGGTGATTTGTGAATGTGTGAAATTATATCGTACATGAGTCATTGGTCAATAATTATGTATGAATCTCCCATTATAAAATAACAAGGATAACATTTTAATAAAATACCTTTCTAAACTGATCGATCGTGAACAATGTGATTTTCAAGAGTAACCAACAAACGCGAGCAAAATACGTCACGCATGCACAGCATCCGTTAAATGTTTGTTTATTCGCTTGCAGTTACAAGCTAATTAGGATACCTCACAAAATGGACAATTGGTTAAAATATTGATGTTATTCATACATTTGTCTCAGAACTATTTTGGGTCAGGCAAGGTGTTACTCTGTTGAAACAATGCAACTTGGGGTACAGTAGCCAACCAGGTTAAGAACCACTGGCCGATGCGGTATACGAGCCGCACCAATTTCAACGTGAATGTTGTAGCACAAGCAGATTGCCAGTGCAGGATACGCACCTCTCGCTTGCCTCGGGGAAATAGCGGCGGGTACCCAGTTCTGTTTCCACAGCCACTCATTCAGCATTGCCCTTGGAGATTTCCAAACTACACTGAGTGTTCTATAGCTCTGTAACTCGGTGTGCTCTTCAACATAAATAAGTAGACAACAATACTCCACCTCCTCAAATCTGTCTGTCTACATAAAAAAATATGTTTTACACATCCCACTAGCCACACAGCCTTCTGGGAGTGCATCGTTGCTTTTAGCATTCAATGTTTCATCAGCAGAGTCGGGCTCGGTTGAACCATTGCTGGTGAACTGCCTGATGTTTATAGGCAAGTACCCTCACTGTTAGGTATGTGTCCTAGTTTTACCCAAAATAATACAATACACAACAACAATCATTGGGACAGAAGACCGTGAGTCAAATGCATTTATGTTTTTATGTGGAGGGGGACAGATATGTACAACAGGCGGATTGTCTGCTTGTTTATTTTGTTATTTATATTCTCAACATTTATGTGTGGAGTGATCTCTTCTCTTATTTTCTGAATGCAAGGACTGTTTGGATAGTTGCTTCTTGAAGAAAAAAAACTCTCCCTGTTCGAACAGCCGTGGCTTGGTGAACATTTCCAGTTATAGCCCTGAGTCGGTGACATAAATTCCATATTTCTGTGGCATAGGCTAGTGTATAGATTGGGAAGTCACTCTTGAGCTTCCACAAAGTGGTACAAAATTTTGTCGACCACAGGTGATGCTTTGCCGAGTTGACATCTAAGCAGGATGTGAGCTCTCGCTGTGCTGTAGTATTGCGGAGCTGAATCCCGGATACATGGAGGATGGTGATTATTCTCACTCGTTGATACGATTATTGTTATTATTGTCAGTGTATGACTGCAGAAAGCATATTGGGGAGTCATGGGCCATGCTCACGTGCCTCAGCGTTCACCGCATGTTTCAGAGGTTCGCAGTTCAAGCCTGGCGGCCGCCCTGATTAATGCAGCGGTGCGCGTTAACCATAACGTGCTGCGTTCTGGCTGCTTCTCAGCGGACATTAAAGATCCCCACCCCCACGACGTCATTCTGAAGGGGGAGGCCCAGCTGAGCACCAGCGCCCGTGCCCCGTGTTGTCTGTGCAGGTACATGGTGGATGCAGCGGATCACGACAAGGTGGAGGCGTCTCGCAACGAGCTGCACAACCTGCTCGACAAACCGCAGCTCAACGGCATCCCGGTGCGTGTAGCGACATGGCACGCGCACCGCGAGCGGTGCCAAATCACTCGGAGGGCTCTCGACATCCCTCGTTACGATCGCGCCCGAGTCCGATGGACGGGCGACTGCCGTGCGTAGACCAGGTGCTGGAGGCTACTCTGGGGCTACGTGGCGGGCGGCGGAGGGCAGTGCAGCAAAATCCATCGTTGCACTTCTATGCTAACCTCCCTTCACTGAGCCCACACTGACGAACGTGGTCAGGTAGTCAAATAACCCCCCAACAGCGGATTGGCAAAAGGGCCATGTTCTTAAAATGTAATGGACAGGCTGCAAAGCCGGTGTTTTCATGGATTCCCCCCAACCCGCCCTCCTGAGAGCAGGGGATGTTTGAAGCCTAGAAGTGGAGAGTTATGTTTTGAAGGACAGGGAGAAGGTTGGGGGGGGCAGTGGGTGGTGTGAATGGTAATAGCAGCAGTAATTAGTTGGAGGGTGGCAATTGATTCAAATGGGATTTTATCAAATACTTTAAACAATTTTGCGAGTGAGAGTCACATGCACGCAGTTTTAATTTTCAGTGTTGATTAAAAAATAATCCGGCTGGGTTATCGCCATGAGTAGAGCTGCGCAGTTCACAAGCGGAAGGTCGCGAGTGCCAATCCCAAGCCGTTATCTTGATATCTCACGAAACATTTGTTTCAAACAACAGAGTAGCCACCTGTGCTGACAATGAAGACAAACGTAAATTGGGCCTACACCACAGTGTAGAAATTGGGTTTGTTTACTTGTGTGTATGTTTATTTGTGCCAGGACTAGCTGACGTTGCACCCATACTTGGGTTTCTTAAGTGTGGCGGCCAAAGTTGATGCATTGCACTATCTGGACACGAATGGTGCATGACAATAATTGCCCAGCACTGTGAATGCAGTGAGGATCGGTGGACCACACACACACACACACAGGCTCGTGAAATTCTCTCCCAATCCGTGGGGACCGAGGTCACAGTCTCCGGGCTTATAGCCAGGGTACAATGGCAGTACAGAAAGTGTGCAGGAATTGGATGTTACCCCCCCCCCCCCCCCTATGCTTGAGCTTTCTCCGGGTACTCCAATTTCTTCCCATGTGTTAATAGAATTTTCCATAGATCCCAATGTTGGACCAAAGAATTTGGGCGATTGTTGTTGATGCTGGTTCTGGCTGCCTTCCCACTCGTCTGTGGTTTCCCAACACCCCTGAATCGTGAACAAAACTGCACGTACTACAAATGTAACAATCGTTATGGGTGCTGTCCTGTATGCTGAATCGAACTCGTGTTCCTAGTTGCACTGGAACAAGCTTTTGGATACAACCAACTGGCATAGGCAAGCTCCATGCAGTGATTGCTAATCCCAGTATCTTCCAATCTCGGAGTCTCCGCGCGAGTCGCCTCTCCCTGCGAGCCGCCCCATTGGCTCACAGCCCCGAACCAGTGGTGGAAATACCACGTCCCTCTGGTGGGGCTGAGTCTAACCAAGGGATAACCATTGTTGACTTTCCGACAAAGTGGTACTTGCTTTAATGAGCAATTTCTAGATCTACCGCTGAGCCGCCATGATCTGTTATGGTAAAAATATCCCTGCCATAAGAATGCGGAATATCCACCACGACCTTAGGACTGCCAGCAGATTACCAACAGATGGGCACTCCTTCCCATTCATGCATAACTGTGATATCTGTCTATGGTGCGTTTGAATATTGCATGACTAATAAAATACAGCCATCAAATGTGATGAATAGTATCTGTGCTTATAATAGAGCGATTGTGTGTCTTGTCCAGGTGCTAGTTCTCGGAAATAAGAAAGACCTGCCCAATGCCCTGGATGAAAAGGAGCTGATTGAAAAGCTGTAAGTATCGCGTTTTGATCGCAGTGAAAACAGCTTGACTTACACAGACATCCATAATCACAGCTTGAAAATGTCAGCTGTAGCTTTTAAAGTCCTCACTCTCTAAAATGACAGCTTTATTTATACAACAGTCGTGACCCACCGTTGTGGCTGAACGGTAACTGGGCCATGGCGTAATGATGATCTCTGATGAGGATGGTGCCAGTGTACATTAGTAGCGCTTTGAACTCGGCAAACTCGGGAACCAGTCTATTGATGGGGCCTCTGGTTTTCCAGGGACCAAGCGACATAACCCAGAGGTAGCATGAACACAGGTTTGTGGTTAAAATCCAGCGACCGCCCTGGTTATGACTGCAGGTGCATTTGCCGTCAAAATTCTGCTATGCGATGTCTGCTTCAGCAGTGAATGTTGAATATTCCGTGACGTCATTTGGAAGAGTAGGCCATTGTGTGCCAGTTTCACGTTACAAATTAGCATAATTTGAGAGAAAACAATCCTTCAAATGACTAATTTTTAATGATACAGTCACCATCGCCCCCTACTGCTGAACGCCTAGCAGCTCGGCGAGGCTGTCCTGTGCAAACCGGCGCAATAATCTAATAAAATAACAAATCAACTCCTGTTCCAATCTCCCCATCACTTGTTGGGTTTCACGAGTCATTTGAGGCGGAGTCAACATCGGGAGGCCACCTACACTTGGTTCAGCTGAGAGAATCGGATTGTGCTCGGTATTTGCATGCACTTTGCACTGCTCTCGGGGTTCCTTGTGATATTGTCTGAATATCTGAACATCATCATCATTGGCCATTGTCAATCCGCTGCTGGATGAAGGCCTTCCCAATCCGCCGCCACCTTGCAATGCAACAATCTGTCCAGCACCTGCCGCAAACGGATCTCGTTGCTCCGTCTCTGCAGTGAAGTCCTCCCGGACGCGCTTCGTTTCATTGGCTGCTGCTCCATTCTTATTCTTGAGCGTCGGCTATCGTCCCATCTAGCGATGTCGACACTATTTAGACAAATGGAGCCTTCCCCTTTTCTTCTCACCTCGCTGATACCAACTTAGTCCGTGTCCTGTTCGCAGCAATGGTCAAATTGACGAGGCGTCCGGATCGTGCCCAGTGATGCTTCGCTCCCCCTGTACCTCCACCCACCCAGCCAAGGGCACAGAGACCCGCAGAGTCGCACGCGGAGACCCGCACAGTCGACATTGTTGGTGGATCAAGAGACGCTGGAGACTGGGGGGGGCCCATGGTTTAGTTGGCAGGGGAATGACCATACATCACCGCGCCGGCCGGCAGTGCGGGCCGAGTACCTCACCGCAATGGGTGGCCCCGTCCAGGTCTGCAGTGACTCATGGCCACACGGCTCTCGGGCCTCTTTGCCATGTGTCAGATTGAATGAATGTTCATGTTGATGTTATGTCTGTAGGAATCTGTCTGCCATTCAGGATCGTGAAATCTGCTGCTATTCCATCTCCTGCAAGGAGAAGGACAACATTGGTATGTTGCTTGCGTCGCATTGCTCTGCTATGAACACACTGGCAGTTTAGTTGTTGGGGACTGTGCTGTCCATGCGCAAACGATACAAAAACATTCAAAGTTTGTTCACTATCCGTTGGCTGCTCAGCTAATTAAACAGACACTTTGCCTCAAATATTCCTGTTTCCACGTAGACATAAAGGATTGATTTACACATCCCATCGACACACGGCCTTTTGGAAGTGAATCTTTCATTATTTTAAATTCCACCCACTCGCACACACAGCACACGCACACAGCACTCGCAAGCACACACACAGCACTTGCACACACACTACTCGCGCGCACACACACACCACTACTATACACACAGCACACACACAACACTCGCGCACACACCCTTACTCATTCACACACACAAAGACAACGACCCCCCCGTATTGCCTTAACACAGACTATTGGGGAAAGTGCTGTTAGCGAACACCTATGAAGGCCGGCATGGCACACAAAGGGGTGGGTCGCCAGCACCATGCCTGAGCCGCCTGTGTCTCCCCTGTGGCAATGTTACACATCACACCAGGTCCTCATTTGAGGCCGAGTCGACCTAGGGGAGGTCCAGGACCGGTTCAGATATCCGTCACCGATATTTACCATGAGCAGAATTAGAACTCGGGTCCCAGGGTTCGTAGCACAGTCCGCTAACCGCTAACACTACCGCTTCCCACACCACACCACACTCGCACACAGACACACACACACAACAACAACAACTGCCATTCGCCACTAAGTGGCGGTGACGTCACCACGACGCTTGTGCCAGGCCATGTGCACCTTGAGGCCACGTGAAGTGTCGAACGCCCGCTGGCATGAGGTCACGGGGCAGACCCAGGTGCCACAGGTCGACTGACCGAGATGACTGGCTGATGCACCACCTGTGCCCCCTACTGTACCAACTTGCTGTGCTTTAGCCACCCGGCGCTCCGCTCGTTGTTGTGAGCGTCGCTCCTCCGCCCTCCGATGTTGTTGGAGGGCGACTGCCTCCAACTGCCCAGTAGCGTCCTTCATGAGCCTCCTCCACAGAGGCCGATCTTGACACCGCTGGTACCAGTCATCGGCAAGTCCACTCAGCTCCACGTCCTCCTGTACCACATCACTCCATCTCTTCTCTAGCCCATGCTGCGCCCGTTTAGCCCCCTCGATCCGGCCGAACAAAAACTGTTTAGGCATGCGGTGACTGGGCATGCGGGCTACATGACCCAGCCAACGCAGCCTTGCCCTGCTGGAGGAGCTCACCGATGGGACTTTGCCAAGATCTTTCAAGGATTTGTGAGCTCCTCACCACATGTAACAAACATTGTAACAAATAAGCTTGTGCCGGAGGCCCCGGGGGACAGGCTTCTATGACACACAGACACACACACACAGACATACACACAGACACTCCGCAGAACAGGGAGATGAAATGTCAACAGCAGACAGGCACCCGAATTGGGAGTCAAACCCTGGATACTGGCTGCGAGGCCCGAGTGCTACCTCCTTGCCACCACCTTGCCGCCACCTTGCCGCCTCCTTTCCGCCACCTTGCCGCCACCTTGCTGCCTCCCTGCTGCCACTCCGTGCCACCCTGCTGCCACCCCAGTGTAACGTGCTGCTGCTTCCGCTGCTGCGGTGGTCCCCCCCCCGCCCACAGACATCACCCTGCAGTGGCTGATCCAGCACTCGCGGTCCCGGAGGAACTAGGCGCGACGGGGGCAGCGCCGGCTCCGCCAACGGGGACGGGCGGCCGCGCCGCCGCGGGACGCTCGCGCTCGTACGGAGCACCGGACGCGGTCGCCGTTGGGCGAACGAGCGGCTGGAGTTTTGCAATGGGTAACGAACGGTCCTCACGACGGAACCTCCACGCGGATGCGACAACGACACCGACGGCCGCCGCCCGGGCCGCAGCGGTGGGGGGGGGGGGGGGAAGAACACGCGTCCGGCACCGCGCCGGGTGATGTTCAGTTACAGAAGGCACAGTTTTTCAGGGAGGGGTCGAGATGTCTCCTGTGCTTATCAATGCCTGCCACCCCTCCCCCACCTACCCCCGCTGCCACCCACAGTGGTATGATGGTTTGCTCCGCAGTCTGTAAATCGTGTTGCCACCTACCGTGGCGGTGGAGGCAGCTCGTGAAGGCGCAGGCTCGGCGCTCGCCGTGGAGCGTACCACTTTAATGGGTTGTTGTTTTTGCGGGGTCACGCTCAGCTTCGCATTTTGTTTCAAAGTGGCCGTGGGGCTGCACCGCTAGAGCCGTGTGCCACGGCAGCCGCCCGGGAGAGCTTCAATGTCTCTGCTTCGGCATTCTATCTTCCACCAGGATCCTCTTGAGTTGCAATCAAGGCAGCGGCTGCTCTCGGTGCATTATTTGTGGAATGACAACAGGCAGCAGATTCCAGACATCCAGTGCACCGTTACGCACAAAACACCGTCGACTTGCACCCACGGAAAGCAATAGCGCTGCTTTCCTCATTACTCGGACGCGAATCTTTTCTGTATTTTCTTATAAATGCCGATTGACCACTTTAGATATTTTTGTCACGAGTGAATGCAGCACGGGTGCGCAACTATAGAATATATTTGTGGATTTTCGTGGGTTTTTTGTTAGTTTCTTCATCTCTCCATTTCTGTTTGCACCCCTGGAGAGACTTAAACACAGGATTGCTCCAGCGGCCTGTGTGGGGCTTGGCGCTCCGGTGAACGCAAGCGTGTGATGTACATTCAAACGATACGGGAACTCACGCCGTCTCACTTTAGTCTTTAGCGCCGTGCACACGGGACACGGCGTAGAATCAAATAAACCCCGTTCTGACGTCCGATTGTGAGACACAAGCCGAGCTAATAAAAACGAATCGTGGAAAGAGTTTGTGCCAGTCATATACTGTAAATTGAGATAAGATCCGGTGTTACGGGGGCTGGGGGCGCGCAGGGGGGGGTGGGAGTTATAAAATAGTGAGACAATATTGCTTATTATGAATGTGTTTATCTCCCATTTGTACAGTATACATGTAATCGCAGCTCACTGAAAATGTAATAAATAAATAATACGGGCTGTGCTGGGACAGGTGGCAAGCCAACGCGTGCTTTTGTTTGCTTAAGGTACTGGATTTCTAGACATTTGTGTTCCACTTTGTCGTGCTCTGCAGTCGCCCCGTGCATTTCCAAAGGGGGGGGCCCGTGTTTGTATAGAGGCCCCCTACACAGCCTCCCACCCCACTAATGCCACTCAAGACAGATACAGAAATCGTAAACCTCTCCTTTGTGTGGTATTTCTATGATGGGATTGTTTGGCCGCCCGTGCTAAATTGCTGAAACCTCAAGGCTGCCATTTCAACGACCGCGACCGGCGAACAGAAGTTGGGCTATGACGCAGAAAACAAAGCCAAAACAAAAACACAAAAACATGTTCTGATTTGGTAAACTCATTTAAGAACTCGTTTCAGGATTTACGTGCACCCCTTTATGAGCGTTCAAACCGCAGCAGTGCCCATTGCCCAGACCGCCGGGGAGCACGGGCATTGTCTCGTTCACGTTGCTGCCGCCGCCGCCACTAAAGCCCGGGTTGTCTGCGCGCTCGCGACAGCCAGTCCCTTGTTTCGCATCCCACGGCCGCCGGCACCCGGTGCCAAATCATCAAAGCGAGCCGGCCCCTGTGAGACGCATGAAAGACGTCGTCCCTTTCACAGGTTTAGGCCGTTGTTGTGGCTGTGCCAGCACCAGCGTTAAACATTTAAAGCCACCCGACTACTTTGGGGTTGTGTGATCTGTAAGCAACCACCCTTGCCCGGTCGCCTTGCAATCATCCGAAATGGATCTCGATGCGTTCACCTGGCTTTAGAAACATGCTTAAGCACGTGGTTGCGTTTCCTCTTTGGTGGCTCTCGAAGAACTTTCACGTGGCCTGTAATTACCGTGCGAGAGCTGGGAAAATACTATCGGTGATTTGAATGGAGATTAAATTTCAATTGAACCTTAATAATAATTATTCACATTCTTTCATGAGGATTGTTTGACCGTGCTTCACCACTCTGGTCAGCGAGGGTTGGTGAAGTGGGGGTGTGGGATGGAGGGTGTGGACTAGACCAGTTCAGATATTGCTCACCGCTCATGTTCCCATAGTTCTGACCAGGAATTGAACCCGGATGCTGCACGGATTCACAGTGCAGCACACTCGCCACTGAACCACCGTTCCATGTTCACTTCATGCAAGTGGTGTTGATGCTGGGGTTTTAGGAGTAGGTGTAATGTTAATAAATGCAAGTGCCATTTGATTATTACTTTAGTCGTGCTCAGTGCTCGAGCGAGCGACTCGAAATCAGAAGGTTGTGAGTTGAAATCCTGTTTGGGACTTGACTCCCGATTCATCAGCCCATCCCCCTACGGTCGATAATAGGTATTCCACTGTGTGGAGAAGTCAATCTGCGTTTCCAAATTGATAGCCTCGCCCCTGCCATAGGAATGTGGAGTTTCCACTACTGGCTCAGGGCTCGAAATAGTTGAGCACCGTCCCAATGCTCATGAGCAGGCAATCGCTAAATTTTTTACTTTCATATTCGTGCCTTATAAAGAGTTCCTCCATTCTCTTTTTGATAGCATAGTCAGGCAGTGGCTGTCACATGCTGCACGTGGCCTGGAATCAACAATGGTTGAAGCTGCGAGGGTTGGTGGATCGCAAATGTTGCAAAATCCCTTCCTTTGGGCATTGCAGTGCCATACCCTGCCTTGCCAGGAGAAGGCCGTACGCCAAAATGTGGACTAATCTCCATCAGTCCCTTCTGTACGGGATATTGATGCCCCCTGGCAAGCGGGGGGTTTTCTCGGGCTGCTTTGGTTTTTTCCCATATGAATAACACATTATTTGGCTGAACACAATCATATACAGTATTTACATATACGCCTTAATGTTTGCCTGATGCCTTGGCATAAATGACCCTCCTATATAAAAACCTTTTTTTATATTATAAACCCATTGAGAATTAGCAGGAACATTTGACCATTGGGTGAGACGAAAAAATATTTTATTTTACCGGGTAAAGCCCACTGAGCTATATAGCTTTTTTTCAGAAGCGACCTGGCCAAATGATAACGAAGTGGCTTATGTGACAGTGGCAGGATGCACCTCCTAACACCTGTACATCACATGCGCCGCACCGCCCAGCGGGTGGAGTCACCCGGAGATGCTCCTGATGGCCGAGAAAGACGTCCGCATTTGCTGGTGCTAAAGCTGGATGGCTTGAAACTTCCCGACGCTCGAATGACCTGGCTTCAGTCTACTTCTAACTTGGAACAAGTCTTAACACCAGATATATTATTTAGTTCAAACAATGCCCGTCTGGTGCGGCCATCTCTTTCACACGTGGAAAATTAATTGAGTGGCCCATTTATAAATGTGAAGCGATTTGGTACCAACATTGCCTTGTTGAAATTTATTGCAGTACAGTGAACAATTTTGAAAACAGACCGAGTGTGACGGCCGCCCCCTACCCTGCCCGCAGCTCCACACGGTGCCATGGAGGACCTGCCAGGCCCCACTGGCACTAGCGGCCGCGTGGAGGCCCTTCTCCACCCTGATCGCCACTCCAATGGTCTTCCGAGTTCTCGCCTAGTTACACAAAACACTCGCTCACCTACCCATTCAAACATCCCCCGTATCGCATTAACAGAATTTTGGGACTGGCTGTTAGCGACCACCTATGAAGGCCAGCACGGCACATGAGGGGGTGGGTAGCCAGAACCACGCCTTGCCGCCTTTGAGGCTGAGTCGACCTAGGTGAGGCCCAGGACCGATTCGGATAAACGTCATTGATGTTGGCCAATTCACCACTAACCTATTCATTCACTTGGTCACCTACTCAATCTTCCAAATGAGGATCACCCTGGTCTCTTGAGTTCCCACCTGGTTAAGCAAAATAAGCTTGGACTCATGAGGAGTGTGTTGCCGTTTTTTGGACCTGCCTGCATCTGAATACTGTGTACAGCCACATTTGTTGATGACCCATTGTACCCATTATACCCATGGCAGTCATACACAGCGAGTGAGCTGAAACCATAACGATCGACGCATTGTGAAATGATTGTACACTACGTCACGCTATCATTTGTTTGGCTATCCGGTGGTGGAGGGTTTCACGACAAAACTTTGGCCAGATCCGTTACATGTCATAAACAAAAAATAAATCATGAATCACAAAATCGGCTGCAAAAACCTACACGATAAATTATCGATGGTATTTCCCATCCCTACAACTTTACCACCACTGCACTCGCCACCCTCCAAGCCTGCCCACTGGTTTGTTGCTCTTTGTGGCCCGCGGTTCCCGTCTCCCAAGAGTCGACGTCGGTCATCTCGCCCACTGACCGCAACTGGAATCCAATTTCCGATGTCGATGAAAACTCGTCACAAGGTGGAGCCACCGCGAGGAGGACAATGCCGTCTCCACCCAGAACAGAATGGAACAATGCGGTCATCCAGAATAAACGCCTCATTCGAGACCCAAACGTAGACGCACCTCCTGTCTTTGCCATCGCTTCTCGAAGACCACTGGTGGTGTAACCGTCAACCACATCAGAACATCGACAGCAGCACATGCTGGTGCGGTACCACATCTTCATAAACGGAAAATTAAAGACAAGCTGTGGCCATGCAACCCAAACTATGGATCGTCGAGTAAACCACGAAACTGCGCTCCGCAAAATGACACGAACTCTGCTGAAGCCCTCTCGTGGCCAGCAGCAGCAGCAGCAGCACGACCTCGACATTGGCAACGAGCTCCTCGCACGCTGCTGCCACTGCCACGACACGCCAAGACCGGACTTGGTCCGCGTGTTCACTTCACAGGCTCTCGGCCCATGGTCCACCCGCACGTTCTGTCACGGTCGGAAATTTTACGCTCGTTCCGCTTGGCCGGCATTTGTTCAGCGGTGCGCGAGAGCTTCAGAGAGGAGAATCGCTCGCGAGCAACACCGCAGCGGCCGCACGTGGACGTCGCTCGCTCCGCCGGCGAGACGTCGCTCGAACGCTCCCTTGACGCCCACCTCCGGTGACCGTCAAAGGTGCCGCGCAGTCTCCGAGCGGCTCCACTGCTGGGGAGGGGAGAGTCCTCGGCTCGCGCTGATCCCACACCGTGTGAGACCCATTGCTCGGAAACGGGCTCAGCCAATCGGGCCAGGAGTAGGGTGGGGGGAGGGGATTGAGTGCCCAGGGTGGTGCCCTGGATAATTAACTCGGTTACTGCTGCTGTATCAGGAGGCTGGTGAAGCCTGCATTTTGAACAATATTTGTACTATTTTATCAGGTAAGGCCCACTGAGCTATATAGCTCTTTGTCAAAAGCGACTTGGCCAAAAATTATAGCTCAATGAAGTGGAAATGTAAAGTAGCTAAATACTCTTAAACGCATGTTGCTAAATGTGAAAGGGAAATCCAGAGGACCCGAAGAAAAATCCACACGACCACGGGGAGAGACACAAGCAAACTCCAAATATACAGGCGTCAGTATCGGAATCGAACCCACAAACTCCTGTATACTCGGCGAGGTGGTTAACATCTCGCCACCCTGGTGCCCAGAGCAGACGGGAAGGAATTGGGAGTTGATCGGATTGGGGATTGTGCTGGCCCCCTGTGCAGGCAGCTGGCTGCTTGCCAGCTGCGCATCTCGACGCGACACATGGCCTGCATTTGCATTCCCTGTGAACGGCCGAGCTGGGAAGCAGGGCCACGGTCAATGGCTGATGGGATGTAAAAAAATTATTTTATTTTTTATTTTGTGGAAGGACCGATACGGGTAGAAAGACTAATTAATTGATGTGGTGGCCCAGTGGTTGTGTAATTGGCCGATGTTTCGGTCGTTTGCCCTCACCCAGGGCAGAGAGAGGACAAAGATGACCTACAATCCCCGTGCCGCGGCCGGAGATCACCCATCACACCGTGGGGACTCGACTTGAGAGCTAAAGCGGTTGGAATTGACGAATTACCGGATTTTCCCTTAGGGATACGGCATCGTTATTGACGTATATATTGTTGAGGTGTTATTTGCGCTTTATGCACCGTGCCAAACGTCGCA